AATGATTAATTTGTGTCATATCAGTTGCTTAAATGACACTTTTAATATTTTTAAACTTTTCAGATCTTTTACAGATGCTCTGTCCATTAGTAGGTAGTACTCAGAACCTGACTCATGGTAGATAGTATTTGTTGAATGAATGAACGAACAACAGTCCATTCTCTCTCTCCCTCTGATTTTTCTAAGCACTCAGGACCACAGTCCAGAAAAGTTTTAAAGCAGGTAGCTTACCTCAGTTATTTCAGAGAAAATTCTAGTGACTAAACGTGTGTAAAGGGGCGGCTGGGTGGCTCAGTCCCTGTGAAGAACCCTTGATTTCAGCTCAGGTCATGATCCCAGGGTCCTAGGGTTGAGCCCCATGTCGGGCTCTGCACTGAGAATGGAGCCTGCTCGAGATTCTTTCTCCCTCCTACCCTCTCCCCCACTCTCTCTTTCTCTCAAATAAATTAAAAATAGATAAATAAAAAAATATGTGTGTAAAGAGCTGCAACCTTGATTCTCAACGTTTTCACACATGTGGAGTTACTGTGGGGTGCAGTGCATCCTGGGTCTGCCAGCTCCAGTCATGACCTCAGCAGACCAGCGGCCTCTGCCCAGTTCTACCTTGCAAAAGGCCTGATAGAGATATTGGGGAGCAGGATATCAAACCAGGAATTGGTGAAGCAATTGCAGCAAAGTGGTTCCTATCCGACCAGTCTCTCTCTCACCCTCTGAATCTGAATCTGGAAGCCAAACTTGTGTTTGTGAGCCTTGCCTACCAGAGCTTGGGGAAGCTTAGGACAAATATGCTTCTCCAATCTTTCCCAAGTATGTCTCTACGTTTTTTTTTTTTTTTTAATTTCTAATGTTTATTTTGGAGAGAGAGACAGAGTGTGAGCAGGGGAGGAGCATAGAGAAAGAGAGACACAATCGGAAGCAGGCTCCAGGCTCTAAGCTGTCCGCACAGAGACTGGCATGGGACTCGAATCCACGAACTGTGAGATCATGACCTGAGCCGAAGTCGGACACTTAACTGATTGAGCCACCCAGGCACCCCAATATGTCTCTATGTCAAAGAAACTGTACATAATAGCACAACAGCAAAAGAAGGTCAAGTCACGTTACTTTGTTTCCCTCTTCCTCTCAGTACCTCCTCTCCCTGTGAAGAACCTGATAAGCTTGCTTCCTTCTTAGCTTGTGTTCTGTCCGTCAGTTGCATCTTCTTGTCAACAAGGTTTACCATGAGGGAGGGTTTCCAAACTGCAGATTTCCATCCACAAGTGGGTCCTGAAATTAATTAAGCATTAAGGAGAAATACAACAGAATAACAAGTGTCAAAATGTTTATTTATAATAAAGGGAAGTATTGTTTTGTTTCCACATACATATGCACCATGATCCTATAAATGTATTTCTTACTGTGAAACACAATCAAAAAAAGTTTGAAAAGCCATCATAATGGAGCTTATTTTACAAGTGACAGGGAGCAAATGAGGAGACCTGTGGTTCACACTCTCCTGTATCTACTCAGCCTTTTATTATAGGTCTTTAATACTTAAACTATATTTTGTAAAATGGGGTATTTGTGGTGTCACCCTGGGGGAATCGCTACACGTTCCAAGCAAATGATTTAGGAAAAAAAAAATCTGTGTGTCAGGGATTTAACGAACATTTATTTTAGAGGAGTATACAAGATTTTTCTAGGCTTTGAAACTATTGACTTTCCTTAAAATTTACGAGCCTTTGAACATTTTTTCCAGTTAATGTTTAAACTTTTATTTATGTATTTTTAAAGTTTTTGAGTAGATGGTAGGAGCTTGTGCTGAATTGAATAGTGTCTCCCTCACATTTGTTTGCACTTGGCATGTGTGAATGTGGGCTTATTTGAAAACAGAGTCATAGCAGATGTAATCAAGCCAAGATGAAGTCATAGTGGATTAAGGTGGGCCCTAAATCTAATGACTGGTGTCCTTCTAAGAGGAGAGACACGAGATACATACACATAGGACTCATTACTGATAGACTACAATATGAAAGGGAGTTGGGCACTGCATAAAGTGATTTTGGATTCATGGCAGAAAACTCAAAAGATAAGGGCATCTGGCTGGCTCAGATGGCTAAGCATCCAACTCTCGATTTCAGCTCAGGTTATGATCTCAGTGTTATGAGTTCGGGCCGAGTTGGGCTCCATGCCCCACATGGAGCTACTTAAAAACAACAAAAACTGAAAAACTCAAAAGATATAAAAGACAGTTTTTCTCTAAAGTGGAATTGAATCTTACTGGTTTGTCTTTTAACAGCTCTTTAAATCGTTTTTATTTATTTTTCTTTTTAAATATTTACTTGTGGGAGAGCACAAGTGGGGGAGGGGCAGAGAGGGGGGAAAGAAGATCTGAAGGGAGCTCTGTGCTGACAGGCTGATAGCAGTGAGACCAATGTGGGGCCAGAACTCATGAACCATGACATCATAACCTGAGCCGAAGTTGGAGGTTAAACTGACTGAGACACCCAGGTGTCCCCCAAATCGTTTTTAGCTGTGCTAGGCTGGTATTTTGCCGTACTTATCTTGCCTTAAAGATCTTGTCCTGAAATTTCTTATTATGTATTCTATCTCAAGAATTTAAAAAGTATATACTTTATTAGTTTATAAGAATGTATAATTTAAAAATATTATTAGAGGGGTGCCTGGGTGGTCAGTTGGTTAAGCGTCCGACTTTGGCTCAGGTCATGATCTCATAGTCCGTGGGTTCAAGTCCCATGTCGGGCTCTGTGCTGATAGCTCAGAGCCTGGAGCCTGTTTTGGATTCTGTGTCTCCCTCTTTCTCTGCCCTTCCCTCACTTGCTCTCTGTCTCTCTCTCAAAATAAAACAGACATAAAAATTTTTTTAAAATATTATTAGAAGGAATGAAATTATCCTAATAGAAGTTAATGTATTTCTGCATTGCTTTTAGAAAATAGCCTCTGACCTTTAATATGGAATTTAATCAACAACTGCCATTTGCAACAGATATGCCAAGAATTTGATTAATGTTTGGAATCTGATGTAGCTTTCACTTCTCAGAGACAGGAATGTGAGAAAAGGAACAAACCAAGATCTCAAATAAACAAAAAGTTACTCGTAATTTTCTGAGGTGTCTATTAAATGACTTAACCTCAGAGCTCCTTTCTAACACGAAACTCATGTTAACTAAAGAACATGAATGAATATGTAGCTCCTATGCATTTTTAAATTAATGAATTAGGGGAGAATTTGGCAGAAATTAAGGAGAAGTGAAGGTTTCTGAGCGGTGAGCTCAAGAAGTAAGGAGCTAGACTGTTGGGTAGGAAATCAATTCTGCTGCTGGCAGGCAGGGCAGGTCTCTTGGGTGTTTGGCCTGTACACACAAAAAGCATGATCCATAAAAAAGAAAATTGAAAATTGGACTTCATTAAAATTGGAAGCTTCTGCTTTTCAAAAGATTTTTAAGGAAAAGTAAATAAAGACAAGCTATAGTCTGGGCGAAAATATTTGCAGATCAAATCTATCTGATAAAAGACATCCATAATACATAAAGATGACTAAACTCATAATAAAAAACCTAACACAATAAAAAATGGATAAAAGACTTTAACAGGTTCTTCAGCAAAGAAAATATAAGCATGTAACAGGATTCTTAGCATCATTAGTCATGAGACACCATTACTAACTTGTTAGAGTGCCTGCAAATGAAAAAGACTAACCAGACCAGGTGCTGGGAGAGGTTGGAGAGTAACTGGGGCTGTCAGCTCTGCTGGTGGGAATGTGAAACCGTGTACCTACTTTGGAAAACAGTTTGGCAATTTCTTTAAAAGTTGACTATACTCATACCTACTATTTGCTGTAGCCATTCTACTCCTGCTCTATTCAATGGAAATGGGAGCATATGTTCACAGACCTGTATATGAGTCTTTTTGTTACACTTTACTGTTTATAAAAGCTTTATTCCTATAAGCCCCAAACTGGAAACAACCAAAATGTCCACCAAAGGTGAATGGAGAAACCAACTGTGGTATAATTACGGTCTTAGCAGTAAAAAGAAGTAAACTAGTGATACATGCGACAATGTGGATGAATCTCAAAATAATTGTGCTGCCTGAAATAAGCTAGACCAAGAGGGTGCATGATTGTATGACAATATTCCATTTACATAGCATTCTAGAAAATACATTTATCTGTTGTGACAGAAAGCAGATCAGTGGTTGATCCAGAGGAGACTGTGGAGGAATGAGAGGCACAGAAACTTTGAATGTGACAGATATGTTCATTATTTTGATTGTAGTAATGGTCACACAGATGTACACATGCCAGACCTCATCAATTTGCATATTTAAAATAAGTGGTTTATGTCACATATACTTCCATAAAAGTGTTTAAAAGGTGAGTGTATCATGATTCATGTTACATACACAACCATAATGCTTCAGAATATAGTCCTGCGTTAACCTTTCCTCAACAAAAACCCATAGCACAATCTAAATATGCATAGATTAAATAATGTGGACTTCAGTTTTCTTTTTTTTCAGTGGCAGCACAGCCCAAGAAAACAGCAGTGTGAGTGTGCCTTTGCTTCAGGTCCAAGGACACAAGAACAGAGCGCGCTTTTTATTTCATTCACTGGAGGTGACCTCATCTGAGCACGTAGTGGTCGGCATGCCAATCAACCCGTAAGCAATTTTCTTAGGCGTGTGAAAGGACAAACGAGGGACAATAATCCTGCCAGCTTCGAGCCCGAAATTCGATATCCGCATATGCGGCAGATTTTACTGTAGGGAGAGTAATGAGCCCGATGAGAGCCTGGGGCTGGGAAAGCACTGGGAACTAAGTTAAAAAAAAAAAAAAAGAAAGAAAGAAAAAGAAGAAGAAGAAGAAGAAGAAAGTAATAAAGGAAGGAAGAAAAGAGAGAAAGAGAGGAAGAAAGAAAGAAAAAAACAGACAACGGCTCCAGCCCAGAGTCCCAGATCTGCCCGGTCACGTGGCCGCGCCCCTCCTGACTTTCTGGTCCGGCGGGGCTCTCAGGCCCTGTACTTTCGGTTCCGCCCGCGGGCCGTCGGCTCCGACCCCGGCGCATTTCCGGCCGCGGTCAGACCGTCTGCCGAGCGCTAGGGCACTTGGCGGTAAGGTCTCTCGGGGCGCGCAGTTAGGGCCAGTGGGGAGTGCGGTGTGCACTTTCCCTCCCGCTAGAGGTGACTGGGGCGCGGGGAAGCCACCGGCTGTCGGCCTTCCGCTTGGTGCGCAAGATCTATCTGCCTTTCAGTTCCAAAGGCCCAGCCCCGACACTAAGAGCCCCTGGGAGGCTGCTCTCAGGCGTGGAGGGGACGTTCGGCCCCTCCGCGCGCTCGTTTCGTAATTGAGGACCCGGGGCGCGGGGTGGGAGAGAACCCGGTGGCCTGTTTCGCCTCGAGCTGGAAGCGTTCTAACGCCGCCCTCCTTCCGTCCCCGTCCAGCCCCTCGACCATGCCCGCGGGCGTGTCCTGGGCCACCTACCTGAAAATGTTCGCCGCCAGCCTCCTGGCCATGTGCGCAGGAGCCGAAGTGGTGCACAGGTACTACCGGCCTGATCTGGTGAGTGCAGGAGGGGCCTGGCCGCCGGACCACTCCATTCTCCCCCCAGCAACGGAAACGATCTTAAACTGGAATTAGAAGCATCTCCGCCGTGGACCTAAGCCCTAGGATAGCATTCCCATTGCATTAAGAGCAATGCATGCCCTGTTCTTAACAAGGTCTTACGCGGGTCTTAGCTGTCACATGCCTGCCACTGGCCTTAATCTGCCGTTTACCTCTTCCCAGTGTTGCAGCCACACTGGCTTCCTTGCTGTTTCTCAAACTCATCAAGCTTGTCCCCATCTCGAGGCCATGCTTTTTCTCCTCCTGGAATGTTTTCCTCCCAGATCTGGGGTTGGTTTCCTACTTCAGAACATCACGTCTCTCTGCTCAAGTATTGCCTCCAGCGATGAGGGTCCTTTGGATAGTTCCTGAAGGATTCCTCCTGCGCTATTCTGTCTCAGTCCTTTGTTTCCAGAAGGGACTTGTGACAGTTTGCGAGTATTTTATTCCTTTGTCAATGTAGTCGTTCTTTGTTTCCTCCTATTCCTTTGTCAATGTAGTCGTTCTTTGTTTCCTCCACCGGAATGTCATCTCCATGAAGGGATTGGGCCTGCGTGGTTCACCTTCTATCTCAGTCACCTAGGAAGAGCTTAGAATGTAGTAAATGCTCAGTAAATATTTGATGATTGAAGAAGGAGGTAATATAGACATTCAAAAAAGGGAGAAATTTACATTAATTTTAATAAGCATCTATGGAGTTAGAACAGGAAATACAGGTGCCTGGGAGGAGTTCTGGTCTTGCGGAGGTGAGGCAAGGAAGCACAGTGGAAAGAATTACATGCGTGTGCCAGGTGTTACGCTGCAGGTGTGAATAGAGTGGTTTGGAGCACCGCGTAGGGAACGGTCCTTTCTGCCCGGACTCTGGGCAGGTAACCCAGAGAACCAACCGGTTGTGTTTCTAGTTTCAGTTCCTTGTCAATTAGTTTGGGAGGTATTCCTGTTTTCAGAGGAGGAAACCAAGGTTCAGAAGAGTGAACGTGATTTTCCAGGATAACATAGCTTACTGAGGATTTGAAGCCTGAGCTTTCTGTTTAGTGTTTCTCTTTTTTGATCCTGTTAATAAAGTGGTGCAATACGCAAGTAAAACATTCAGCTTGAATTCAGGCATGTGGAGGAGAATGTGAAAATCCCTCCCTCCCATTTACTAAACTCCCCTTTCTCCAGGCTGTTCCCCACATGTCTACCATTTTTTGAAGAGTGTATATTTGCAGACTTTTACTGTTGTTTAAATAAACACACACACACACACACACACACACACACACACAGAGTTTATAGGGTGTTTTCCTCCATGTAACTAGGAGTTACACACAGTTCTCTGTAACTTGCTTGTTTTGGTTAAAATCTATATGAATAGACGTATGTTTATATCAATAGCCTTTTTCCTTTCTGACCATTGAATCACATTTCATAATAGAGTGTTCTGTATATTATTTAATCAGTCTCTTAGTGACATTTTGGGGGTACCTAGTTTTTGTACAAACAGTGCTGAAGTAGCTCGTTCTTACCACCATAGACTGCTCCTCCTGTGAGTTCTGAGGATGCATCATGGATATTTAGTGGAGACAGAAAAGTGTAAGAACCTTCCAGAGAAATGTAATTGAGTCATTAATTCGTGAGGAATTGACATGATGCAGGCATTACAGAGGAAGGAACGCCTGTTATGTGACCCTGGGAAATTGACCAGATAATTGACGTTTGATTCACTCATCTCATTGTAAGTGGGAATATGCAGGGTTGCTGCTTGGACCTTGAGAAGAGGCAGCATGAAGCCAGAATCTCTAGAAGGATCATACTGAGGCGTCTCAGGCGACTTCATCCCGACTGGGCAATAACGTCAGCAGTAGGGTACCTCTCTAGGGACTTGACTGCCAGGGCTGGCCAGCTATGTGTAGGATGCCGGATGCTTTACTAATATTTAAAGGCTTTGTGTTCTTTAGCGGCGTCTGTTGGTATTGTTCTAGCAATCACTGTCACTGTTGTAACCACCTTTGTAGGAGTCTTTCACTGCTAGAAGGTCTGGGTGGAGCACAGAGCAGAAGACACCCTGACGGCTGCCTCGAGCTCATGCTCGGTGCTGGCTTCAGGGAGCAGCATTAAGGACGCATCTCAGTTGTCCAGCTTAGCTCCTCAGAATAGGAACGGAGGCAGGACTCAGGCGGACACTCTCCCGGAATGCAAAGTGTGCTTTTGCTTGAGCTGCTCTTTGCATTTTCATTTACTTTTGCATTACACTTACTGGTTCTGTTTTCCTTAGTTTATAATCTATTTATTATCAAAGGAATGGTTGGTTAAAAAAAAAATTCAGTCTCAGGACTCACGTTGAAGTGTTCATTTTTGGGTGTCTCCAGACACAACTGTATACATATGCAAATTGCTATTTAGAATGTCTGCTGACATTGTTAAATTTTGATGTGGGTAAACTTTTTAGTCTTTTAAAAGTTATATATTTTACATATATAACATATAATAATAAAATGCATATAATATTGTAATATATATTATATATTTTTAGTAAGTGAAAGTGCTATTTTTCTGTTAATAAAAGTTGAATTGTCATTTTAGCTTTGTAGTGTATTGGCGACTCCAGTTACTCCACATGTATGTGCCTGTGTGTGCATGAGTGTCTGTACTTTGTAGAAATTTGAAACATGCTGTTACTGTACTTTATTATATTTTTTAAAGCTTTTCTTTTAATTCTAGTTAGTTAACATACAGTGTTATATTAGTTTCAGGTGTATGGTATAGTGTATTATTGTATTTTATAGGGCTTTGTGATTTCGTATAATTTCCTTTTGTTTTTACTTTTTTTGTTTTTTATTTTTATTTGAGAGAGAGAGAGAGAGAGAAAAAGCACATGTGAGTGGAGGAGAGGGGCAGTGGGCATGAGAGGGAGGGAGGGAGGGAGGGAGGAAGGGAGAGAGAGAGAGAGAGAGAGAGACAGAGACAGAGAGAGACAGAGAGACTCCCAAGCAGGCTCCAAGATCAGCATGTAGCTGGATACTGGGCTCCATCCCACAACCCTGGATCATGACCTGAGCTGAAATTAAGAGTCAGACACTCAGCTGATTGAGCCACCCAGGCACCCCCATGTAATTTCCTTTTGTGACCTGGGGGAGAAGAGAGCCCTTCTAAATTAATTAGTTTCCACAGTTTGATGAACATGAAACAAGCTACATTCTTTGCCTATAGTAAAGGGATTGGAATGTCAACATCCCAGGACTAGTTTTAAGATAGGAAATTGTCACACTAGTTAGTCTGCCTTTTATTCCAGTTCCCATCACTGATTTTTTTGGAAAGTCATTTTCACCTCAAAATGAGAATTTTGCTGTGAAGCATGTCTCTTAGGTCCCTACTTCTCCTATGACCCTGACCCCACACTGTGTATTCTTTCCTAAACGATTTTGTTTCTTTAGTATTAATTAGTTGTTAGGAGATAAAAGAGTAAAATAAACCAGATCAAGGTGTTTGAACTTCAGGCATTGAAAAGCTATTGAGGTTTTTTGATGTGATTGAAATTATGCTCGAATAATATTTTATATAAAATAATTTGAGTAAAGATTTTACTTCTCTATAATCTTATGAACTTATAAGGGTCCTGAGCACAGTTTTTGCCTGCTTTTTATAACCTCCTAGGATTGTAAGAAATGAGGAGATCACCATGTGGTCCCTTTCCTTAGGACCTAACAGTGTTAGCTGACAGCTGCTAGAAGTAGCTACGCCTCTGAATCATCATGAACAGTTGCACTTGGATGTGCAGTGAGCCTGTTCAGGACTGAGCTCCCCGTCTTCCCCCAGCACACCCGGCCTTCTTGAAGTCTTGCCTGTCGCAGTGGATGGTGACTCCATCGCTCTTGCTGTTCAGGCCCCCACCTAGCAGTCCTCTTTAACGCCTCTCTCATACCGTGTGTGACAGCAGATCCCACTGGCTCAATCTGAAGAATGCATCCAGAATCTCCCTGCTTTTCACCACCTCCATTGCTACCGCCTAATTCAAGCCACTGTCAGTCACCTCCCACCTACCTCAGTGACCGTGTCAGCTCCCTGGCCTTCTTCTGCCTTCCACCCCTGCTCCTCTACAGTCTTTCCTCAATAAAGCCATTGCCCTCTTTTTACGCCTGAGTCGGGTCATGCATGTCATTCTGCCTGGAACTCTCCAGTGGTTTTGCATCTCTGCACCCCCTTTTGTCCTCTGTCCTCGTCTCTTCCTAACCTCTAGTCGAATACGTCATACCAGCCGTGCTGACCACCTTGCTGTTCCTTGCCCATAGAGGCATGTTCCTGCCTTAGGTCCTCTGCATTTGTGGTTCCTTCTGCCTGAAACACTCCTAGATACCTGCATGGCTGCCCTTCTCCCCTCCTCCCTGTCTTTGTTCAGAAGGCACCTTTTCAGACAAAAGAGGCACATGAAAAGGTGTGCAGCATCGTTAGCCATCAGGGAAATGCAAATGACAACCCCAGTAAGATACCACTTCCTAACCACTATCGTGGCTATAACGAAGAGAAGCAGACTGCTCGTGACAAGTGTTGGTGAGCGTGTAGAGAAACCGGAACCCCCTTACAGTGCCGACAGGAATGTGAAATGGTGCAGCTGCTTTGGAAAACAGTCTGGCAGTTCCTGAACCAGTTCAACATAGAGTCAGGGGACTTAGCAATTCCACATCGAGGCTTAGCCGAAGAGCAATGAAAACGTATGTTCACACAACAACTTGTACACAAATGTTCACGGAAGTATTATTCATAAGAGTAAAAAAGTGGGAACAATCCAAATGTCCATCACCTGGTGAATGGATAAGCAAACTATGGTATATCCTTTTAATAGAAGATTATTCTGTCCTAAAAGGAAATGAAGTACAGATGTATTTGACAGCATGGATCAGAGCTTGAAGACGTGCCAAGTAAAAGAAACTAGTCACAAAAGACCACATGTTGTATGATTCCATTTATATGAAATGTCCAGAACAGGCAAATCTGTAGGGACAAAAAGTAGGCCAGTGGTTGCCCAGGGCAGTGGCGTAGTGTGGAGGAGGGTGGTGGGGGAACAGTAGTGACAGCTAATGGGCACAGGGTTTCTTTCTGGGGTGATGAAAAAGTTCCAGAATTTATTGGAGTGATGGATGCACACTTTTGTGAATATACTAAAAGCCACTTGAGGCGCCTGGGTGGCTCAGTCAGTTAAGTGTCCAACTTCGGCTCAGGTCATGATCTCATGGTTCGTGGGTTCGAGCCCCATGTCGGCCTCTGTGCTGACAGCTAGCTCAGAGCCTGGGGCCTGTTTCAGATTCTGTGTCTCCCTCTCTCTCTGACCCTCCCTTGCTCACACTGTCTCTCTCTCTCTCTCTCTCTCAGAAATAAATAAAACATTAAAAAATAAGTAAAACAAAAGCCATTGAATTATAATTGTATACTTTAAACAGGTGCATGGTATGGTGTATAAATTATATGTCACTAAAGCTGTTAGCAAAAAAAAAAAAACAAAAAAGAGGAAGTTAACTTAGGCTTTTCCTGACCACTTTTCTTGAAGTCAGTTTTTTTTTTCTCTTTACAGTTTGCACATAATAGCCACTTACTGTTTGTTTTTAGTATAATTTGTTGTCAAATTGGCTTACATACAACACCCAGAGGCACTTGTTTTTGAATAAATGAATTGATTTCTCATACCTGTTTCCTGTGCCAGCCACATGGTGGAGAGTCAGTAAATGGTGCAGAATGAATTTCAAAATGTGGAAAGCTTTATTAAGATTGTGATCTGTCCATTAATATTGATGTAAACTCTCCCTCTGTGAGCTCTGTAATACTGAAGACACAGTCTGGATAATAGAGTCCTACAAGTATAGGCCAGAAAGGGACTTCGATTAGCCACAGATTCTCAGAATCAGGATTTACGATTGAGTGCACAGGGACTTTTTGTTTTTTTCTACTTTTTACTTTCTTTGATGCCTTTCAGGTCACGTTTACTTACAGACTACAAAAGCACAGCTACCTATGGTTTTTTTTTGTTTTTGTTTTTTTTGATAGTCAATACCTGAAATTCCACCAAAGCCTGGAGAACTCAGAACGGAGCTTTTGGGACTGAAAAAGAGACAACATGAACCTCAAATTTCTCAGCAATAGAAGCTTCAAAATACAACTCTGCCAAGAACTCTGTGAATAATATATTTAAGTATTAAATTCATATTTTAAAATCTATTGAGTCAAACTGCTAATCTTTAAACACCTAATGCAATGCTGACTGCAAGGGGAGGTGCTCAGGTGTTAACTGATGCACTGAGATTTAGTTATGGGTTGACCAGTGTTTCTTGAGAACTGCCAAAGTATATCATCAGCTTTTTGAATGTGGTTGAATAGATACTTGGTTTTGAATGTCATGTGAGAAAGAATATCTGCAGTGTTTCCTACCCTTATAATTCTGGTTTATTTCTCTGAATAAGCCTGACTACCATGGCATAATGGGAATTTCTAAATTAACTATAATAAAAGTGTCATTGACAACGAAAGCTTATGGTATGAAGTTAATATTTCTCTAAAACCGAAAAGTGCTATTTTTACTAAACTGAATTAAGTTGAAATATTTAAAGTTTGAAGTTCTCTTTTTTTTTTAAGTTTATTTTTCAGAGAGAGAACGTGCATGCGTGCAAGCGGGGTCCTCGAGGGGTGAGGGGAGAGAGAGAATCCCAAGCAGGCTCCGTGTTGTCAGTGCCAATCCCAACGCAGGACTCGATCCCACAGACCAAGAGCTCATGACCTGAGAATAAATCAAGTGTCAGATGCTTAACTGACTCAGCCAGCCAGGCACCCCAAAGTTTGGAGTTCTTTTGGGATTGTGCGCTTGACAAAATCATAAAAGACGTCATTTGGACTGTTGGAAGTTCTTTACCCCCAAATTTGAGAACCCTGTTACCATGTAATTATTATTATTATTATTATTATTTTTAATGTTTTATTTATTTCTAGGAGAGAGAGCGAGAGAGTGTGAGCAGGGGAGGGTCAGAGAGAGGGAGTCACAGACTGAAACAGGCTCCAGGCTCTGAGCTGGCAGTCAGCACAGAGCCCGACGCGGGGCTCGAACCCACGAACTGCGAGATCATGACCTAAGCGAAAGTCAGACGCCTAACCGACTAAGCCACCCAGGCGCCCCACCATGTAATTATTCTTATAAAATATATTTTAAAGTAACCAAAAAGCTTAAATGAGCTTTGTTATTGGGTGAATTGTGTCCTCTCTCAAAACATGTTGAAGTCTTAGCCCCCAGTACCTGTGAACATGACCTTATTTGGAAATAGGGTTTTTGCAAATATAACCAAGTTAAGATGGGGTCATCTGGGTGGGTCCTAACCCAACATGACTGGTGTCTTTATGAGAAGAGGAAAGCACAGACACTCTGGGAGAATGCCAGGTGACAACATCAAAGATTGGAGTGATGCAGCTATGACCCCAGAGTGCCAAGGATGGCGGATCACTACCAGAAGCCAGGAAGAAGCAAGGAGGGATTCTAGCCAGTCTCAGCACATGGCCTGTGCTACACCTGGATTTTAGACCTCTGCCCTCAGGAGCAGTGAGGGAATACATTTCTGTTGTTTTAAGCCACCCAGTTAGTGGTACTTAGTTATGGCAGCCCTAGGAAAGTAATACAAACATTTCAAGTCTTCCTCTGAGTCTATAAATAAAGGACAAAAGTAACTGATAGAGCGGTTGGCTTTTTATTTAGGGCTATTCTTCCAAAAAGAGTTTTTTGGAATTCTGCATTTTTAGAAAAATGTTTATTTGCGAGATTGAGCAAATGGGGGAGGGGCAGAGAGAATCCCAAGCAGGCTCTCTGCTGTCAGCACAGAGCTCAATGCAGGGCTTGAACTCACAAACTTGAGATCATGACCTGAGGTGAATGAAACCAAGAGTCAGATGCTTGGGACACCTGGGTGGCTCAGTCGGTTAAGCGTCCAACTTCAGCTTAGGTCATGATCTCACGTCTCATGGGTTCGAGCCCCACATCGGGCTCTGGGCTGAATGTTTGTTCAAAGCCTGGAGCCTGCTTCAGATTCTGTTTCCTCTCTGCCCCTCCTCCACTTGCGTGCTCTCAAAAATAAATAATAAAATGTAAAAAAAAAAAAAAACCATCAGGACACTTAACTGAGCGCACCCCTCCCCTCCCCAGGCCCCCCAGTAAAGTGCTAATTCTAAGGATAATAAGTGACTTTCACCAAAGTATGTATTTCTTCCTTTTTTGAAGTGGACCCCTATTATTAAAAAGTATACAGGGGCGCCTGGGTGGCTTAGTCGGTTGAGCGTCTGACTTTCGCTTGGGTCATGATCTCGCGGTTCGTGGGTTCGAGCCCCGCGTCGGGCTCTGTGCTGACTGCCAGCCCAGAGCCTGGAGCCTATTTCAGAGTCTGTGTCTCCCTCTCTCTCTGACCTTCCCCTGCTCACGCTGTCTCTCTCTCTCTCCTAGAAATAAATAAAAAAGAAAAAAAAAAAAAGTATACATTATGGCAGCCACGGAAATGCAGTAAGATTCCCTAAGGCAAGGCAGTCAATGCTTATCACTGAGCAGCCTTCAGTTGTCCTGGCTTCTGCAGGGATTTTATCAGCTAGAGTGGCCTTGCTCAGACCCACATACCTCCTATCATTAGGCACAACTCTGAGGGGCCGGTTTAGCTCAGTTCCCTAGGGGTTGACTGGGGCCATCTTTGGACGTGCTTTGCTTCTCACCTTCTCCCTCTGCTCCATCCCGTTTCCTTTCCTTCCACAGGTGCTGATCTAAGCGCATTCCTTAGCAAACATCCTGTATACCAAATCATTCTAGTGCTTCCTGGACATATAAGCCAAAAATTAAGAGTAGTACTAGATTCTTCCTTAATACAGCTGTGGGAGAAAACAACTCCAGATAGATCAGCTGCAAGCTGTTTAGTCATTAGATGAGGTCAAACAGCTGTGCAAGGCTACTAGGCCATAGCTGCTTGTTTTCCCGAAACCTGAGGGAGTCGGAGGCTTTCTAAGCTTCCTGCTGGAAACCATGGAAACTCACTCAGAATTTGTAACTGGAGGACTCTGAGGAACAAAAGTTTTAGATGTTATTTGATGCAATGTGACGGCTTTAATTTCTATATAACAATTTTTACTAAAAATGGCAATTTATAGTGGCCAAAAGACTGGAAACTAGTACAACTAATAGCCAATATAACATTGTCACGAAAAGAAGCCATAGTATGTTTCCCCCATGAGGATGACAGAGTTCCCATTTTCTCTTATAAAAGAAAGATTTTTAAAAATATACATTCAAGTAAGGTGGCCATTAAAGTGATTATTGCAAATTAACCCTAGAATAGCTTGGAGGGAGGAGTAAGAAGCATACAAGCAACAGAGATACAAGCCCAGAAAAGGGTCCTAGATGATCAAAATTTAATCCCTAAGAAAATAAAGTTAGTTTCTACAGAATTTTCTCATATACACATGATCTCTGAATAAACAAGTCAGACTTTCAGTTAAAAAAGACTGACCATTTCAGGTGGCTACAAACTAGTGAAATTACAGAAACCGGTTTCTCATATAGAAGAATACATTTCTAAAGAGATTAAATGATCACTTGATGAGGACCGTCACTCAAGATCTATCGTTATCTCTGTTGTAGGATTATGGGTGTTTGAGAGACAGCTTTATTTTGGAATAACTCGAGATTTACAGGAAAACTGCAAAAAGATAGTACGGAGTCCCCATGTGCCTTCTGGTTTCCATGGATGCTGTCCTCTTACATCACCATGGTGTATAGGTCAAAAGCCAAGGAATCATTAACTACACACCAGACTTTAAATTTTAGTTTAATCCAGGTAATGAATACACTTAGTTGCCATGTCTCCTTAGTCTCTGTCAACCTATTTTGGTCCTTGGTTTTGACCTTGAAACTTTTGTGAAGTACTGTTCGTGTTATAGGTTTGTCTGATATTAGGTTATCTTGCGAAATACCAGAGATGGTAGTATCCTTCTTCCCACATCCTGTCAGGGATACAGGACATCACTAATACTAACCTTAATCACTAGGTTAAGGTCATGTCTGCCAGGTTTCTCTGCTACGAAGAAACGATTTCTCCCCTTTCTGTGCGCTAGAGAGTAGCCACTAAGTCCTCGCCACTTTCAAAATGGAAAGGAGTTTAAGCTCCACGCTCTACCTCCTGCAATGTTTTTTGGAATTCTATAAGGAACATTATCTTTTCTCTATGTAGGTGCCTTTTTAAATCCACCAAGTATACAAAGTTCTATACAATCTTTATGAAGATAGGCAAGACACTGAATATTTGGGATCTTTTTTATTTTTATACACATGACAAGATTTTACACCAAGAATAGTCAGTTAAATAGTACAAATTTACATTCATGAGGAATGTTAAAAAAAATTCAACTAAAAAACCCACTTCTTTCTGTGACCCACAATCCCAACATTTTACAGTGCAGGGGTGAAGGGGGCTGGGGGGAGCATCCAAAACAAGTCTCTCCCAAAAGAAATGACTTAAATTTCACATTCCCTCTCCACACAGGATCCAAATGGTGAGAGTATAATTTATAATTCATCTTTTTCAGCTGTAGATGTCTGTGAAAATAAAAAAATGAGAAGATATTAAAAACTAGCAGAAAAAACCCTTAGCTCACAAGGTTCACATATAAAAAAACAATTGAAATGGGCCCAGTGTATTTCCATTATTTCACCTGTAGGCTAGAACATCATTTGTTGATCTGCAAAATAATTCAGAATCCAACAGATAAACGGCCCCTGAACATAATTCATCAAAAATTTCAACTGGCCTAAAGCTGCTATATAGAAAGGCAGAAGCAAATGGCAAAGACTGCAGAAGCCCTGTGGGGTAAGGAAGAATCTGTTTAAAAATATCTCAAGAATGGATGGCTAAAATAAAGGAACAAAAGGAGTGGGAAGCCGAAAGTATACACTTTATTTAGAGAGAAAAAAAAAGGAGTTGCTCCAGCTTTTGAATTTGATTAGATGCCCATTTTTTGGCAGGTTTCCTGAAGCCTGACTTCTAGAACCTATGCGGTCTTAATGACAGAACTAAAAATACAAGTTTGCCTAGCTGTGCAAGAACTGCCACACAAGTCCCATCCTTGCCCTGCTATACCTTCACTGTCTCTTCTTCTTCATCTGCTCCTGCATCCGTTTCTTCTTCGTCCTGTTCTGTGTCTTCTGCGGTGTCCTCCGTTGTTTCTTCAGGCTCTTCTTCAGGCTCTTCTTCCACCTAAGCGCAACACTTCTAAGCTCAGTAACAGATCCAGTACCTTGGATCTATTTTCACTTTGCTCATTTAAATGTAGAAGATCATAATTAACTTTACTCCTGTTTTATCCAGAACTGCACAGTAAATCTGCTAATTAGAGTTAAGTCAAGCTAGCAAAGGGAGACAGATTAAAAAAAAAAAAGGTATAAAAGGGAATTTCTTATTAATTTTAGCACAGTGTGACACTGGGGAGTCAAACATTTCAATAAATGGTTTCAAAC